AGATTTTGATGGCTGACTTCCCCTAGTATGCTGGTAAATGATGTAATGGAGGAAAACCAATTCACCTTGCTTGCTCCTTTGAGTGTCCTGTTAAACAAAGCTAACCAAATACCCCCGCTGGCCTGCAGAGATGAGCCTGAATTCAGTTAGTAGTTCTTTCCTGCTGGGATACTTTCTGTCACTATTGTCACAATGCTTTTAGTTTTAAGTAAAATGGGCCAAAATTGGAATCTCAAATCTGAATCCAGATGAAAGGGGTTTGGACATGAATCCCTAGATCTGAACCCTATAGTTTTGTTTCTGGATCAGTCTCAAGCCCAGAAAATTATTGTTTTCCCATTCAGATGTAGGTGAAGTTGGGGTGGGGGTGAGGGAGTGGAGCTCACTATTTGTACAAGATTTCAGCATAAAATAGCATCTGCCCACCGCTGACTCGCTACTCACCTCTTCACCTCCTCCCTCGCCCACCTGCCGCTCACCTCCTCACCCCCCTGCCAGACTCCCCCGCCACGAAACCTCCCCTGCCGCCTGCCGTGCAGCTGGCTTGCCGCTCTCCTCCTCACCCTGCTGCTCCCTTTCCCTCACCGCGAGGCCCTACCCCCATTTCACCTTTAAAGTGCTAATAACATTCCCCTACGGAAACTAAACAGCTATAGATCAATTGCCAGATGGATTCTCCTCTGCGTGGCAGGGAGTTTGGTATATACTGTATAGAGAGACATGAAAAGTCAGGCTACCTGCGCCCTGAAGCCTAATCTATCCTTTTGAAAAGTTTCAGAGTAACAGCCGTGTTAGTCTGTATTCGCAAAAAGAAAAGGAGTACTTGTGGCACCTTAGAGACTAACCAATTTATTTGAGCATGAGCTTTCGTGAGCTACAGCTCACTTCATCGGATGCATACCATGGAAACTGCAGAAGACATTATATATAATGTCTTCTGCAGTTTCCACGGTATGCATCCGATGAAGTGAGCTGTAGCTCACGAAAGCTCATGCTCAAATAAATTGGTTAGTCTCTAAGGTGCCACAAGTACTCCTTTTCTTTTGAAAAGTGTTTGTCATTGACAACCTGCATCAGGGCAGTAGTTTAATGACTGTTCTTACACAGAATTCCTTGCCAGACTCGCTTACTTAAACTGGGTTTGAATAAAATGACTAGATCAAGAAATAAACTCACTGGCTATGTCAGCTCCTCCTTGAGCCAGGTTAGTCAAAAATATTTCTACTTGGTACAAAGAATAACGGACGGGTCATTTGGAAACTGTTTTTAACCCCAAGAACACATTTTCCTACAATATCAAAGCCAGCTGAATGTGGCCAAAGGCTTGCTGGGTGTTGGCAAATGCCTGTTAAATGGCTTCCTTACCATTTTAATGGCCCTTAACAGTTTTAGTGATCTGCTACTAGGTCTCTGGTCTGAAAAGGCTTTTTCACTGTGTAAAGTTACTCGGGGATCCCCTCCCCTCCTCACTCCCCGGCCTGCTGCTCACATCCTCACACACACACACACACAACCTGCACCCTGCAAGGATGGGGGTGAGGATGCACACACCGGCAGCTGCAGGGACCTCCGAAGGGGGAGGAGGATGGAGTGGAGTAGAGGAGGAAGACTCACACCAGGCAGCAGCAGTAGGCCGTGGGAGCCTCCAGGAAGTGTCAGAGCAGGGAGGGGAAGAGGCAGGTGGGGGCATCATGGCCCAGGTATCGGGCGGCAGGTACGACTTGCTAGGGGAGGCAATGCCTCCTCTTGCCTATTATACCCGCCACCCATGTCCAGGATATCCTAAACCTATTGTGTATGTGTGTGTGCTTAATATCTATTAGTAGTTTTAGATAAGAACATGCTTTTTGGTATCAATCATTTCTCAGATGGAAGCACTGCGTTCCCATTGATTTATTCCTGATACTGCCTGTGGAGAAACAGTTAAGTTACTACTGCTTTCGATTCTGAAAAACCCCTGTTACTCTGAAACCTGTCATGTAACAACAGGATCAGACTCCATAGTTTTTATCCCCTGGTCACTTGGGGTATTATAACAAAGGCATTATGTTGGAAAGACTTCCAGATTTCCCCTTTATGTAATAATTTTTCCTGCTGCTTTGTTGCAGCAGGATAGGTTTTGCATCTATTCCACATTTCCCTTTAGGTAATAGAAAGGAACAGCATCAGAACTGAATGGATTGCTCCTGGGGGAAATTTAGCAACTTGTTTTTTCCACTGGATTTGCTGCTAACTGAGACAACTTTAAAAACAATAGAAGTAATTGTTTTTCATCTTTTCCAAATATAAATGAGCCCAATGCACTTACCTATAGATGCGATATGACAGCTGTAATTTCATACTGTGCCATCAGATTACATGCTGTGGGATCTCTTAAAATTTAGTTTTCAAAGTGTATTATCGCAGTATGTTTTCTTTATTTCTTGATATGCATTGTTTTCCTATAAAGGGAACAGAAATAGGGAAAGATTTTTCATGTGCTTTTCCTTTATTTCCGCTTTGGTGCTTTTGATTGCTTGCACTACTAGACCTATGACACATTATGACTTTTTTAATTCTCATGTATTCTTACTTAACAACAAACAATATCTTAATGTGGAACAGAAAGGTCTCCTTTGTAATCTTTAAAGACTTTCAAAATGAGAGCAACGTACACATAAGTAGGAGATGTTAAATGTTCTTATCATTGAGACTGTTAGGCATAAGCTCCTATTCTTCAAACTGTTTCCAAAAGTGATTTTCAAAAAACTGCCGCAGCAGCTTTGGTGCTGGGGTCAGGGGAAAGGTGCCTCTCCCAGTCGCAGCAGCTCCAAGACTTGGGCCGGGGCTGGTGGACAGGTGCCTCTCCCAGCTGCAGCAGCTCCGGGGCTGGGATCAGGGGAGAGGTGCCTCTCCCTGCCGCAGCAGCTTTGGTGCTGGGGTCAGGGGGATGGTGCCTCCCCCCCAGCCCCGCCCCACAGCAGCTCCAGGGCTTGGGCCAGGGGAAAGGTGCCTCTCCCAGTCGCAGCAGCTCCAAGACTTGGGCCGGGGCTGGTGGACAGGTGCCTCTCCCAGCTGCAGCAGCTCCGGGGCTGGGACCAGGGGAGAGGTGCCTCTCCCTGCCGCAGCAGCTCCAGGGCTGGGGCCAGGCACCTCTCCCCACCACTGCAGCCCCGGGGCTGGGGGAGAGGTGTCTCTCCCCACTGCAGCCCTGCATGCCCCAAGCTCCCCACCCACCCCCTATTCTCCACCTCACCAGGGCCGGCTCCAGGCACCAGCGTTCCAAGCAGGTGCTTGGGGCGGCAGTCAGAAAGGGGCGGCAGAGTTTCGGTGGCGGCGGCAATTCGGCGGTGACAGGTTTTTTCACTGCTTGGGGTGGCAAAAACGATAGAGCCGGCCCTGAACCTCACTCTACACCTCTCTCCTCTCCAGACCCCTGTGGCTGCGTACCTGCACGGCTCTCCTCATTAAGTGCGCGGCCCTTGATGGGTTCCTGTGCAGCCACGCACCTTAGAGGGAACACAGCTGATGTCCCAAACCAGTGGTGGGGTCTATAATTAGCTTTCACCAAACCAGTAACAAATGTGAACTCCTGGATCACTAGAACAGCCTTACCATGGCATCACAGGGAGCCCCCTTAGTCTCTCCAGTCTATCTTGCCACCCAGACAAACTGGGCTTAGTGATAAATTGTCACTTACACCAACAATCACACCATTTTCAGGTTGCTTCCAGTCCCAAGAGATCAGTCACTTACCCAAGATCTGCAGTTTCCACGGTATGCATCCGATGAAGTGAGCTGTAGCTCACGAAAGCTCATGCTCAAATAAATTGGTTAGTCTCTAAGGTGCCACAAGTTCTCCTTTTCTTTTTGCGAATACAGACTAACACGGCTGTTACTCTGTTACCCAAGATCAATTGGTATCCTAGATTTTACTCCAAAGACACTGCCTGTAGCCAATCCTGTAATAAACTCTCTAAAGGTTTATTAACTAGGAAAAAGTAATAAGAGAGTTATTTACAAGTTAAAGCAAGCAAACACATACATACAAATGGGTGACCATCTAAATCCTAAGAGTGACAGAGTTGCAGTGATCTGTCTATTCAAAGTGTCCTTCACGGCAGACCGAGAGGCAGCCCCTGGGAATCTCTGCATCCGATGAAGTGAGCTGTAGCTCACGAAAGCTCATGCTCAAATAAATTGGTTAGTCTCTAAGGTGCCACAAGTACTCCTTTTCTTTTTGCGAATACAGACTAACACGGCTGCTACTCTGAAACCTGGCCCTTGAGAGTTTCAGCAGCCAAAAAGATGCAATTTCTTCTTAATTCCCTTCCCGCAGAGCTCAAGATAATGGGATGAGTTCATGTGCACATCTCCTCTTCATGGTGAAGGGGGGAGCAATCAACAAAGTCTTTTGTCCTCTGATGTTCCAGGGTTTGTCTGGTGTCTATGGGCCTTCTTTTGTTGGTCAGGAGAGGACACCTCCTCTGGCAAACTAGTACTTCACACTTGGTAATGCTTCTCACCAGAGCAACCACTTCTACATTTACAAAGCAAACACTTAAATTTTACCTTATAACATGGGATATAGATATTATAGGTGATATTAATGCATGTAGCAACATAGCAGCATTTCATAGAGTTTAAATACTAAAAACATTTTATAAGACTAATACCTACAGTTTTTGGATCAAAACTAACAAACAGGTGACCTGGTCTGGTCTCCATTTATGAGGCTGTCAGGTCTTAGCTAATGCCTGCAGCATGGGCAAGAGCTGGCCTCTAGCCTGCCAGCGTAACAGTGGAATCTATGAAAAAATAGAATCAGTGGAAGACATTCTTCTTTGTGCATAATATTGCAGGATGAGCCACCCTTACTTAAAGCAGATTTTAACTAGGTTTCTTTTTACCTTTCACAGGATGAGCCACCCTTATTTAAAGCAGATTTTAACTAGGTTTCTTTTTACCTTTCACTCTTATCACAACATTTCTGTCTGGCATATATTTTCTTTTTTCCACAGCTCAGATGGCCCCTCGATAAACATATTTACTGCAGTTTTAAAGTTTACATAAAGGAGCAAGTCTTCTAAATTAGTAAGTATTCTCAGGGGGATATTCAACTATATTAGCCAAGTTCATGTTACACAAGAGATTCAAGGAGATGAACCCACAAACTGAGGTCATTTTGTATAGGAAATACACAAAATCACCATGAAAATATTCAGTCTGCATACATGCTGTGAGACCGGTAAAAGCAGAAGGTTGGTTAGGAAAACAGTTTCAGGGAGAAAGGCTGTGTTGAGAAACAAGAAATGGTATGCTAGCTTTTACTAATTGTTCCTCTTACTGCCAGATCTGACAAAACCAAATCAAAAGATGGATTGATACAGGCTATTCATAAAACTATTTCAGGCATTCTGACTCCACTAATTTAGTCACAGGGGTTCTCTTACATACCTTACAGACACCAGGATTAAGACCAAGCAAAATCATCACAGTTATTAAAGAAAGGAAAAGAAAACATTAAAACAAAACACAAATGATAAACTGGTTACTTCCATTACAAACTCTTCTATATGTCTCTCTGTGAAGAGCTTTCAACAGAAAGTACACACTTGAGAGTGAACTGCCTCTGGGGGCACTTTTCTCCTGGTAAATTAAAACCAAAGTACCATATACGGTTTCCCAAAATTATTATGAATCCATTATTTAGTATATCCTTAGATCATTAAGAATGTTGATAGATGGGAAAAAGAATTTATTTCAGGGCGGGTAGATCTGTTAGTTATTAATAAATAACCAGTCAGTTTATAGTTGGGTAAAGTAAGCAATCTGAAGTACATACTATGAAATCAAAGAAAATATTTTAGAAGAAGCCATTTAAGGATCTGTTTTGAGATAGGTCTATTAACCAATATTAAGAATCTTAAATCCCACTATTTCTCTGTTTAGCAATGTTTAGCCCTTGTATAGTCTTCAGAAATACATGGTCTAACCACTTTGTGATTATCAGGAAAAACTTAAAATATTAAGTTACGATCACATTTCAATTTCTACATTCCAGAAGAATTATACAAGTTTCAAGGTAATCCCTTGTCAGTGTCGTAGTTAACTTTCTCTCACCGACCCACCCACATTGAAGTTTTAGGGAGATTTTTCTTGGATTGGTTTCTTCCTGAGTCTTCTCTGTTTTCTTACCTATGTGTAACAGCTTGCTTGTAGAGATGGACTGGAAGAGTGTGGAGTGCTTGCTGTCTAAGCAGGGTAGCAGAGGCTTGTGTGTGAAAGGTGCTCACTTCAGAGGGTTTTTTGCTCTCTTCCGTCCTATTTCCATGAAATTATGAAAATGCTCCTCTTTCAGGCCTGTTTAGATTCAAAGTTGGTTGCTGTCAATCTTTCATTGGCTTCATGTCTTCTGTGTTAGCTTAGGTGACACCTGCAGCTCCTGAACATGCAGTTGGCCTGATCAAGACACAATGGTTCTTTAATTGTCTTTGTTCTTGTGGCAGGAAGCATCAGATAACTTAATTCTTCCTTTTTATTCAGTCCATTTTCTTAGATAACCCTTTAGTTCCATCAGAGTTTAATAGGAGTTCAAATTCAGTTTCAAATGAATCCAAATACTTTTGTTTTCTTTGTAGAAGTCAGCTCTCAAAATAGTCTTTTCAAATTCTTAAATGGTCAAAGAAATATTGTCTTTTCTTTTTACTAATCTTTGGAGAGGTTCTTCTTGTCTTCACAAGTTTGGTGAAGGGCTGCTTAAGCATTGCCATATGATTCATTTCTCCATTAATATAAATATTTCTATACTCACATGACATCTCATATTAGTAACCAGTTAAAGCATCAGGTGACCTTGAAATAAAGCATTTTACCATTTACATAAAAATGATATTAGGAGCTTTGCATTTAGCTAAGTTATTTGCAAGTGTGGGTTTCACAAAGGTATTTGCCATTTAAACATTTAAGGAATAAACAAGGTTTAAAACACTTCTAACTACACATATTTTTCCTAGAGTCTTTTCTGAATGTAAAAAGAAAAGGAGTACTTGTGGCACCTTAGAGACTAACAAATTTATTTGAGCGTAAGTTTTTGTGAGCTACAGCTCACTTCATCGGATGCATCCCTGAATGTATTTTCTGAATGTAGTTTTTAAGAGCAATTATAAAATTCATTTCAATTAGGATATTTCTAGAATGCTTTGTGTGGGTTTACTTAGATTAATTACTCTGATAATATACCCTGATTCCTTTCACAATCAGGTCTCTTCCTAAAACATGAATGTTTTATATGATTTTTCTTCTTAAAAAAAGATTACCTTTGTATCAAGCTGGTATCTTATACAAAGGGAGATATGTCCTATTCTTTGATAAGACACTCTGGTTGGTTGGTTGGTTGGTTGGTTTTCTGACTAAATGGTTTCTAGATTTTCAATCTACCATTTGCAGTATATTTACAATTGTAATTACAGACTCTTATCAAATATTCTGTACAAAGCATGAATCATAATAATGAATCATGAAAGACTAGGGTTGGAAGAGACCTCAGGAGGTCATCTAGTCCAACCCCTGCTCAAAGCAGGACTAACACAACTAAATCATCCCAGCCAGAGCTTTGTCAAGCCAGGCCTTAAACCTCTAAGGATGGAGATTCCACCACCTCCCTAGGTAACCCATTCCAGTACTTCACCACCCTCTAAGTGAAATAGTTTTTCCTAATTTCCAACCTAGACCTCCCCCACTGCAACTTGAGACCATTGCTCCTTGTTCTGTCATCTGCCACCACTGAGAACAGCCGAGCTCCATCCTTTTTTGGAATCCCGCTTCAGGTATTTGAAGGCTTCCATCAAATCCCCCCTCACTCTTCTCTTCTGCAGACTAAATAAGCCGAGTTCCCTCAGCCTCTCCTTGCAAGTCATGTGCCCCAGCCCCCTAATAATTTTCGTTGCCCTCTGCTGGACTCTCTCCAATTTCTCCACATCCTTTCTGTAGTGGGGGGCCCAAAACTGGACACACTACTCCAGATGAGGCTCACCAGTGATGTTACCTCAATCTGCTGGCAATGCTTCTACTAATGCAGCCCAATATGCCATTAGCCTTCTTGGCAACGGGGGCACACTGTTGACTCATATCCAGCTTCTCGTCCACTATAATCCCCACGTCCTTTTCTGCAGAACTGCCACTTAGCCAGTCGGTCCCCAACCTGTAGCAGTGCATGGGATTCTTCTGTCCTAAGTGCAGGACTCCACACTTGTCCTTGTTGAACCTCATCAGATTGCTTTTGGCCCAATCCTTCAATTTGTCTAGGTCACTCTGGACCCTATCCCTACCCTACATAGTATAAAAGCAAATAGTATAGAATATTAAAGCAAAATAGAAGTTATAAAACTGCATTCCAAGGTCAGTGTAGAAAGACCTGGAGGTAATAAACATTTTATGTCTGTAAAGCCATGTTTATCTTCCCAGATAGTTGCTTGTCCTTGGAAGATAAGGTAGAAGCCTCCTAAAATTCCTTTGATTAGCTTGAATATTTCATCTAATTAAACAAACAAAAATACATGCATCTGACATACTTTTATCCAAGCACTGTATGTATGAAAGCAATGATAAATATATTGTAAGCTTCAGTTAACACACAAGCAAGTTTAATAACATCTTATTAAATATATACATAATTTTATTAATATCATTTTTGTGTCAGTATTGATATCTCTGCCCTACATTTGTCTTGTAACTAAGATCTAATCCCCTACTTACAGCATCAGCTCTAGGGTTTTTGCCCTGGGTGAACGTCTGCACTTTGGAGCCTGCCATTATTCCCAGAATAATAAACAGCTGCGAACCACATTTTCCTCCTGCCCCTAGTATTTTGCTGCCCATGGCAATCATCTGTATTGTAAAGCTAGCCGCATGTATTTGGGATGTACAGAATACTGGTTTGGCCCTTTGTAGCTCCTAAAAGAAAACCTATGTAAATGTAAGATCTATGTATACTGCAGATGGACTTACTCTGGACATGATACCAACCATGCACTGAACTCCCATTGAATATTACAGCAGAACCCATCCCTTATTAAGACCCAAATTACTAAATAATTGAACCATAATATGTTAACACCTATGCCAAATTCATTGGAATGGTCATTCCAATGGATCTAGACTGTTCTCAGAGGTAGCAGATGACAGAACAAGGAGCAATGGTCTCAAGTTACAACAGGGGGGGTTTAGGTTGGTTATTAGGAAAAACTTTTTCACTAGGGGGGTGGTGAAACACAGGAATGGGTTACCTAAGGAGGTGGTAGTTTTAACCTTAGAGGTTTTTAAGTTCAGGCTTGACAAGGCCTGGTTGGGATGATTTAGTTGGGGATTGGTCCTGCTTTGAGCAGGGGTTGGACTAGATGACCGCCTGAGGTTCCTTCCAACCCTGATATTCTAGAACTCATTTCCCAGAGTGCAAACTTAACCTTAACCAGCTAAATCGTTGTCCAAAGCAACGTTAGATGGGATTAACTATCTCCCACTATCTCCAGCCAACATGACTGGGATCCCTTTTTTGTGAATGAAAAATGTGCCGTCCTTTTTCCTTCCTTGGTGAAGGAAGACAAGGTGTCCTTTTGCCTCTCCTTATATCCTCAAAATTCATTGTTGGTTCCCAGAGTCAGGATGACCTGTCCTCCCGCCTGGGGTTTATTTGCTTTTATGCTGGCTTCACTTCCTCCTGCTGATTTTGTATGAAAATAAGGCTTTTGTTGTTTTAGCTTACAGTGTTCAATTTACAAGTGAACCAAAGCAAACAGGTGAATATACCTCCCTTTGTCTGGCAAAAACCCATTTGTCAACCCTGCTTTGATTTAGACTTTAAAACATTTTCCTGTGTGTGTGTATATGTGTGAGCTCCACAACTTCTTACGTGGTATTTGTATATATATATTTTCACAATGTTATCAATGACGAGTGTGATCCAGGCTTTCATTTGAGATCTCACATGGCATTCATTATAGATAAATATTATGAAAGCAGTGTGCTAGATGCAGTGAGTTTGTCAGGCCTGTTAGAAGTTGCTGTTATAGAATAGTGAATCTTTTTCCAGCTGG